GTACAATATTTGGGAGACCGGTACATGCTGTATGACCGGGAGCCCTGTCCTTGTGATATATAAAAAGAAATGTTCTATGGAGGAATACTTGTGAATCGATATAATAGGTGAAGGAATACTTGTGAATGTATAGATTTGATGAGGGGGGCGGTCTCGCGCCTTCCTCTTTCTCTATTCGTGCCTCGTCCAAAGTCTTGGAGCTGGCTCTAATTCTTGAGTTCTGGTTACGTCTAGTTCTGTACTTCGTTCGCTAGCATCTGACTTAGACGTTGGCCGAAGATAGGGCCGTGAGCGGGCATGACAGGGTGAGACAGGGGGTGCCCCGTGTTATTTATACTAGCCAAATAAGTATATAATAATCAATATTATAAACAATAAAATTGTTGATGTAAATCCAACAAAATATATGAATATTTGAAACAAGAGTTTATACATATAAAATTCAAATTATTGAAAAATAGTAATTTATTTTATCAATATAATATCATTACTGTTGTTTTGATTAGTCTCTTTCTATGGTAGAAAAAAATAATGAATGAAACTGTTGGTAACATTGCGTTTAACTCATTTTATAACTAGTAAAAGCCCATGTAACTTTTAATTGATTTTCAATATTAAGTATAAAATGTGTCAATTTAATATAAGAAAACTATATTTCGCCTTTTCTATAGAAATATATTTAATTAGTTTCAGAAATTATGAAGATGTCTGCTACTATACGTATATATATATATATATATATATATATATGTGTGTGTGTATATTTTATTGATACCATTTACATTTTCTTTTTAAATTTATAAACATTAATCTGTATGCAATTATCAATGAACAAAAATATGATGCCCGTCACTCAAGTCGTAAATATACTGATAAATACGTTCTGATTGGGAATGGTCCTGATCCGTTTTCATCTAATTTGTTTCTGTTTGTCACCTAAACTAAATGAACCTTCTTTGAACCTATATTCAATTCTGTTATGATCTATTTTTTTTTTTATTTCACAACTTCCTTGAGAGTTGTTTAAAGTCTCTTCGCTGTCCATCTTTAAATTTTTTTTTATTTTCTGCGGTATTGGCATATATCTGATGTCTCCCCGTAGAGTAAATAAGGCGGTGAAAATTTTGCTGCAGTGTGGATTGTGTTCTTATATTATTCAAAAAATAGTCTTGTCCATAGTATATTGGTCTATTATTTTCAATAATCAACCATTGTGATCGACCTTTTACTTTCAAAATGGCGGCCGAAAAACCTGAGTTGCTCTAGACTGTAGCGCCTAAACGAATGTACTGATTTCAATGAAACTTCGCTAAAGCCATTTTCTCGACGCCCTTTAAATTTATCTATATAACATACTTCAACGAAAAGAAGCTGGAAAAAAAATTACGAGGGATGGTAAAATTAAATTCCGAATAACTCAAAAATTTTACACTTTTTTGTAGATATTGTGTATGCTATTTTAAAAGATTACGAAATTTCATAAAAAACAAAAAAAAAATCGGACTATTAGGAGCAAACATATGGTCTCCGGATTTTTTTTTATATATTCTATTCCAAATGTTATATCCTTCATTGGGTTTTTAAATTGTGAATGTGTTACTGAAGTAATGCTGTTTTTTATTTTTTAGCATATTACTAATGATTAAAAAAAAAGTTTAGTCCAATAATTGGAATCACCTTTTATTTAATTTTCTATGTAACGAGGAAGGTAATGTTACTTTAGATGTATAATTGTTTGGAAATTATGAACCATTGTGAAATTATTTGCAGCGTTTTTTTATTACTTTCATTCAGTCGGCGACCTATACGATTTGTTAAGGTCTGGTTGAAACGTTGATAATATCAATTGGCATGAGGAGTATTCACTGATGGAAAGATTAACTAGGATTAACCAGGGGGAAAGATTAACACCCAGCATCCTAACATAGTCCATAGTGCACTTTATTGATAGATTAAAATTATTTCAATATTTTCTTTTGAAATCGGTGTAATTAATTTGATGAAATCATTTGCTATATGTTCTTTTGATATTAAAATTCACGCATATCACGAAAAATGGTCCACTAACAAATGCGTGTATTTATTTATGCGCTGATCTATTTCCACTCGTATTAATAGACATGATTTCAAATGGATATTCCGCAGGTCCTAATTTTGACTATAATCCAATTGGTCGTCCAGATCAAGATTTATTTGTCACATATATCTTGCATTGCTTACAATGCTGAAATAACATAAAATCCATAGATTAAATATAATAATAATAAGATCTTAGCTTTCCTGATATTTGTTTACCGCTAATATGAACATAAAAATTATAGATCTTATTATCAAAATACAAACCGAACTTTGTTGACACACAAATCCGTTTCCTGTTATACAGTAGTTTAACGATAACCTCAGCATCTCTAATAATGTTTTCGATGTCTCTATTGCAGCTTTATGGACTTCTGGGTCTTTTATTTTATCTTCGATTTCGATAAGATGAACTGCCTTCATAGATCTATCTTATCCTAATCTTATCTTATCTTATCTATGAACTACTCATCTTCATTTTGAAAACTCTCAATGCCATCTTCTGTTTCTTTGTTGATTTAGATAATATTAATTAGCTTGAACTATAGTCTGCATTGTAAAAAATCTCAATGTCATCTCTTTCACTCTCATTCTCAAAATTAGCAATTCTTCTCTATTCACATTATACGCTCAAACATCTCCTTTAATCCTGTCCAGCGAGCCTGTTCAACAGTTTAACGATAATCTCGGCAGCATCTCTAATAATGTTTCTTGATTTCTCTATTTCCGCTTCATGGGCTTCTTTGTCTTTTATTATATCTTCGATTTGGATATTATTAATTAGCTGTCAACAATCGTCTTCATTTGGAAAAATCTCAATGTCAATACTTTTATTATGGCGATTTTTTCGCTCTCATTCTCAAAATTAGCAATTCTTCACAATTCATTAGATACGCTGAAACATATCCGTGAATCCTGCCCAGCGAGTTATCGCCCTGTTTAGCAATTTAACGATAATCTCAGTAACTCTAATATTTTTTTTTATTTCTCTATTTCCGCTCTATGGGCTTCTTTGTCTTTTATTATATCTTCGATTTGGATAATATTAACCAATTAGACAATCGTCTTCATTTTTATAACTCAATGTAAATTCGCTCTTATGCTTATGCCAAATATTTTTCCATTCGTTTTCAAAATTATCGTTCTTCCTCAATCCATATGATACACTGCATTCTGTGAACATGCAGGTTCTTACAATCTCACATCTTTAATAATATTTTTTGATTTCTCAATTTCCACTTTAGAGACCTCTTGGTATTTTATTGTGTCTTCGATATGGATAATATTAACTACCTTTAAATAATCATTTTTATTTTTATAACTGTCAATATCAATTCGTTCATTATTGCTAATTCTTTTCCATTCGTTTTCAAAATTATCGATTTTCCTCAATTCATTCTGTGAACATAGAGGTTCTTAGAAGTCCTTATAGTATACCCAGTTAGAGCAGTTAACAAGTAAAAGCATTATTGGGTTTTTATAGAAATCGGTTTCCCTTTATTTAGTAGTTTAACTACAATCTCACTGCTTTAACAATATTTTTTGATTTCTCTATTTCCACTTTAGAGAACTCTTGGTCTTTTATTGTATCTTCGATTTTGATAATACCAACTACCTTTAAGCAATCGTTTACATTTTGAAAACTCTCAATGAAAACTTTACGGCAAATGTTTTTCCACTGGTTTTCAAAATTAGCAATCATCCTCCATTCAACAGCAACTAGTCCAAAAATCATGTCCAGCGAGCTATTGCTCTGTTCAGGTTCAATGTCAAACGAATCCTTTTCTTTTATTTTATATTCCTCTTACATTTTGAATTATTTTTATGATGTGGAGTTGTTTTCTCTTCATTCCCACTTAATTTTATAGGACAGGGTCTCACACGATGGACATCGTTCCTTCTGGATCTCCGAAGACTGTCAAATTATTTTATCTTCCAGTTTCTTATTTCCGTTATCTTTCTTACCATCCGATTTCTTCCTAATAACATACGAATCATTATATTTTTTCAACTCTTGTAACATAGCACCAATAACATAAATTTTGTTGCCATGTAATTTATTGTGTGTTCATACTGGTTTTTAGAAATCCTTATGTTATGACCATTTAGAGCAGTTTTAATTTTGTTATTTTTTATCTTTCATAAACAAAAGCATTAGTGGGTTCTTATGCAAATCCGATTCTTGTTATTTATTAGTTTAACGGCAATCTCAGCATTTCTAATAATGAATTTTGATTTTCCATTTTCGTTTTATTGGCTTCTTAGCTTTTTATTATCTTTTCGATTCGGATAATATTAACTACATTTAAACAATCATCTACATTTTGAAAACTCTCAATGTCAATTAGCAATGCTTCTCGATTCAGTGATACACTTAAACTAGTCCACAAGTTCTGTCCAGCGAGCTATCGCCCTGTTCCGTTTCAATGCCAAACGAATCCTCCTATTTTATTTTATAATCAACTTCTGTTAATTTTTTTTATCTATGATACTTACAACTGTATTAGTATAAATAGACCAAGTAAATGTGAACAGAATAATATAATCACATGAAAACGCTTATTGAGAAACTACCCATTGATAGTGCTATAAATGTTAAATTAATCTTACGATATGGTGTTGTTTTGTCTTTATTCCTATATAACTGCACTGGGTGGAGTTAAATTAGGATGTTAAAGATTAAAACATTAGAGCGATATTTTCACAGAATTCTAAAAAGTAAGCATTCTTCGAAATAATGATCCATTAATTGTTATTAAAATATATAATATTAAAGTAACAAGCTGGAAACTAAATAAAAATATAGGAAGGGAGAAGAGATCCTCTGTCGACAGTATTAATAAACCATAAACCTTTGCATTATTTTAACTTTAATAAATTATTTTGAGTTTTGAAGTGCTACCTTCAGTAGCCTGGAACATTCAATGATCAACAACTTGTCGGTATCATATTGATCGGGTTATCAATATTGGACTGCTTAAATATCCCTATATAATAACTTAAACCTACTTTGCTCTGTACTTTCCAAAAGAGCATAACGAATCGTATCACTATGAGTCAGTGGATCGCAAAGCCTTGAAGACAGGCATATACAACTCATTGCTAGCAGAAAAAGACTAAAAAGAGCTATAACTATATATAGGATGCTCCAACCTAAAAGCAAAATATATATAAATATACATATAAATTTAATTTTGATTTATTTGCGACCCATATTAGTCGGATTATCAATACTGGACTGCGTAAATACGCCTCTAAATTAACTTATATTTACTTTGCTCTGTACTTTCCAAAAGAGCATAACGAATCGTATCACTACGAGTCAGTGGATCACAAAGCATTGAAGAAAGGCATGTAGCACTCATTGCTAGCAGAAGAAGACTAAAAAGAGCTATAACTATATATAGGATGCTCCAACATAAAAACAAAATATATATAAATATACATATAAATTTAATTTTGATTTATTTGCTACCCATATTAGTCGGATTATCAATACTGAACTGCGTAAATACGCCTCTAAATTAACTTATATTTACTTTTCTCTGTACTTTCCAAAAGAGCATAACGAATTGTATCATTATGAGTCAGTGGATCACAACGCATTGAAGAGAGGCATGTAGCACTCATTGCTAGTAGAAGAAGTCTTAAAAGACCTATTACTACATATAGGATGCTCCAACCTAAAAGCAAAAACAATATATATATATATATATATATATATATATATATATATATATATATATATATATATATATATATATATATATAAGTTAAGCGTCGTCGGACTTGAAAAATAAAAAAAAAAAAGAAGGAAAAGGGGTAGAGATGCAACACACACGGCTTCTGAATAAACACTGCTTTATTCGATCAATAATTCCTCTTATATACATTTGGCATGTTTGTTTACATTGCCCGATGGTATTAAGGCTGATATCGCCAGTCTCCGGTCTTTATCTCCCCCCCACCAGTTTACGAACAGGCTTTTCGGAAACTTAAATAATCCTAGATCGGAGCCAACGATGACCTGCCTTAACACTTTACAATTGTTTTTACAACATACTCCTAAAAAAAATAAAGAAAAACACAAAAACTAAACACAACACTTGAGAATTCTTAATAACCTACACACAAAACAAAACAAAAAAAAACACAATTTCCTCTACAGTATCGCTATAATTCTATTTACATGAAATAATAATAAAAAAAAAATTACACAATTCTTATGTTTCGACAGGCAAAAAAAACATATTTTTCTTTTTTATATACAGCGGTGAGGGTACTACGAATTCGTAGGTCAATGGTCCGGGTCTATCATTGGGAGCTTTAATTGTTCGATATGAACGGTTCTCCTCTTTCTGGGCTCATTCTCGCTTTCAATAGTTAACAGGTTTTCAAAATTCGGGAACGCCAATACAGGCTCTGCCTGCAACCTACTCATGCATTTCCCGATATTGTTCTCCATTTCCGGTGTCACCGCAATCTTCGCACCTTTCTTGAGCAAATTGTTGTTAGGGACCAAATACTCTGCCATCTCGGGCACGAATCTCCGGTAATAGTTAAGCGTCCCGAGAAGCCTCCGGATCCCTTTCACGTCCCGTGGTACCGCCATCCGTGTGATTGCCTCCACCTTTGCTGCATCCGGCCTAACCCCCTCGCTAGAGATAGTGTGGCCTAAAAAATTAATTCGCGTTTGTCCCAGCAGGGACTTCTCGCTCGACAATTTCAGCCCGAATTGCCGCAGCCTTTCGAAAACTGATCTCAGATGCCCCACGTGTTCGGCTTCCGTTTTGCTGAAGATGAGCAGGTCGTCCATGTACACTTGGCATACCGCATCATCGATACCCCTCAAAAACTCGTCCATCAGACGTTGAAATGTTATGGGCGCGTTCTTCAGACCAAACGGCATTCTGGTGAACTCATAATGCCCCCTTTCGAACGTAAACGCCGTCTTATGTTGATCTTCTGGGTGCATTCGTATTTGGTGATATCCCGCTTTGAGGTCCAATGTGCTAAATACTACTGCCCCACTTAACCTATCGAGTATATCTTCGAATCTGGGGATCGGGTACTTCTCATCCAAAGTATTGTCATTCAATTTCCGATAGTCTATTACTACCCTATATCTTTCTTTGTTATCCCCCGGCACTGCTTTCTTTTTCACCGCCCGCAGGGGACTATTAAAGGGTGAGGTACTATCGACGATGATCCCTTGCTCCTTTAGGCTGTCTAATTCCTCCCGAATATGCTGCCTCAGCGCCTGCGGGTATCTCCTTTCCTTCACGTAGGTTACCCTGTCTTGCTTCAGTGGGATTTCATGCACCGTCCTCCCCGTTACCCCCAATACCTCGCCTTCCCTGAAGAAAATATCTCTAAATTCCGTTTGTAGCGACTTCCTCCAGTCCTCTACCCTGTTCACCGCTCCTATCCGTACCCTTCTTTCTCTCGCGACCCCTACGCATTCAAACTTCCTCTTTCCCAGCCTAATACTCCAGGCTCCCCTATGGTTTCTGATGCTCGCCCCTACCTGCCCTAACAGATCGCACCCTACTATGACCTGGTATTCCCGTGTCATGTTCTCCACCACATGCACCCTTAGCTCACCCTCTTTCCCTGTCCACCGATCAAGCCCAATTATCGCCTCCCCCTCTACGCTACAGGGACCACCCAGAGTGATCAGCTGGCAGTCACATTTCTGTATCCGGAGTACCCTCTCGCTCCCGCACACTTTCCCTAACGCCCTTCGGGTCATGATAGTGCTCGAGCTACCCGTGTCCACAAGACACTTTACTCCCCTGTCTACTTCAATAATTGGCAACCAGCATGGCTTACCTCTGACACTGTTGCATGTTGCTGTGCGGTCGCCTCTCTGCTGACACACTCCTCAGATGTCGTCCCGCTTCCTCCTTCCTGCCGCCGCTCGTCGCTGCTCGCTCCGTTGGCTGCGCCTACCTCCTTCACCTCCGCTGCTGCCTGGTTCATCCGTCTCCGTTCCTGACGTTCCTGACTCCTCGGTTGCCTCCTCCGAAGATCCGTCCCTCTGCTGTACCCTAGCTCGCCTTTTCATCTTCTGTGCATTCACCTCCATGGGTTCGTCCTGAGGTCTCTCCCTCCTGCGAAATATGTATGGGCACTGTCTTGCTATGTGCCCTTCGGTCCCGCACTCGAAGCATGCACTAAATGTCCCGGCTTCCCACACCCGTGACATTTTCTTTCTTCTCTCCGGGGCCCATTCCTCGGCCTCGACGACTGTCCAGATCTTCTTTCCCCCATCGTGGCTTTTTCTCCACTCTGCTGCCTTGTGTCCCTCTTCCTCCAACCTGTCGGGGCTGTCCGTGGACGTCTATCCGTCACTCGGATCCATCCCGGTTCCTCCACGTCCATGCGTGTCTCTTCCTCTCTTGCGCTTAGGTCGATCATTTCCTGGGCACATTCGAGGAATGATCTCTCTCTGGGCAAACCGTCTCTCCTCCCCGTTTCCTTCGCCAGCTGGACCTTAAGTATCGTCGACAGGAACTCCATCCTGGCTTCGACCTCTCCCACACTCATAGTTTCGCGCATTTTCTCAGTTATGCGGTTGTACTTTGCCACTAGTACCCCCGCATACTGCCCCTCGTCTGTCGTTATGACCGGCGCTCTCTAAACATCTGGAAGATGTCATCCTCCGGCGTCCATCTGCCTCCTCCGAAGGCCTTCTTTAGTCGCTCTTTGATCACCGGCCATGGTGTCTCCTCATCCGCCTGAATTTGGTTCAGGATGTTTCTCCTTACGCGGCACACCAGAGCTGCTTTCAAAGCTTCCGCGTCCCCGAGATTCATCAGGTCCTCCGCCACCTTTACCTCTATTCTTGACATGAGGCGGTCTCCGCCTTTCAGGAAGTGGTTAAGCTCCCCTACCTCGCCACCGAAGCGTTCTAGGTCCGCAATGGCTCTCCGTAGGTCCTGCGTGGTCGCCGCTCTTATCTTCATCCATTCTAGCGCGTTAGCGTGCGCTTCTGCCAATGTGTCCCTCGGTAAGGGAGGGATCTCCTGGATCTGAGGGATCTGTGCTACCTGCGGGATATGAGGTATCTGAGGAACCTGAGGGGCCTGCGTGATCTGAGGGATCTGCGCTATCTGAGGCATTTCCTGAGGTTGCGGAACTACAGGTGCGTTTAGTACTCCCGGTCTGATTAAGCCCTCGGTCGGCATCTCTTCTTTTCCTTATGGTTAAACAAAAAAAAATATACTTATCAAAAAAAAATTACTTCCCTGACGTTGTCCCGGGTTTCGGCACCAGTTAAGCGTCGTCGGACTTGAAAAATAAAAAAAAAGAAGGAAAAGGGGTAGAGATGCAACACACACGGCTTCTGAATAAACACTGCTTTATTCGATCAATAATTCCTCTTATATACATTTGGCATGTTTGTTTACATTGCCCGATGGTATTAAGGCTGATATCGCCAGTCTCCGGTCTTTATCTTATATATATATATATATATATATATATATATATATATATATATATATATATATATATAAATTTATTTTTTTATTTATTCTCCTAGGTACTTTTGATCAATTGAATATTTTTTTTTCAATATGCTGAATTGATTTAACATGATGTTTTTATATTTCCATGTAATTTTGTATTTATTATTATTATTTTTTTTTTTTTTAGCAATACCTATACCCTTGGGATATATATTTTCTAGAAACCTTCTCTTGCTTTTAATTCTTAAATTAAAATATATTTCAGTTGAAATGTACTCAATTTAAATCTTGATATAAATGTCTTAACTCATACAACCTTCAATTATATCAAGTCTTTATATTGTATCGTCGTCAAAATCGACTTCATGGCTGTGGTTACTACCTAATATATGTGAACACAAAGCTGAATTTCTATTATATTTATGTTGATACATTCCTTTTTTTCTTTTTCCTAATCTTATCTTATACAATCTCATGGTACAAAAACATTAGTGAGCACGAGCAAACTCACAATTGGGATATTAAAAAAGTTAAAAATAATGAGTACAAATGTTTTAAAAATGAAAAATATGATCAAAATAACACCCATCTAAAATTTTAGAAATCAAGGAAAATATTGGGCCATAAGAATTGCGAAAAGCTATCCCGTTCTGCCGGATAAACCGGCAAGGATGTGCAGCACGATTTGCCCCCTCAATCCGACGGAAGCCGTATCCAAGAACCACAGAATAGCTTGTATTATATTTTATTGTATATCATCATCTTCTATGGCGCCATGGTTCTTGTAGAACTTTGGCCTCTTCTAATTAGATGCTTGCGTTACGCGAGTTTTGTTGAATCATACCTGTGGCATTATGCAATATATTTTAGTAACATGTGATCAGTGGGATTTGATACTCTATTAAATATATAT